TGAATGTTTACAATTTACATACTGAATGTTCACAATTCAAATTGTGAACATCTACTATACTAATAAGAGCCCAAGAGAGTTAGGCCTATAATGGGTAGAAAAAATGGCGGTCAAATTTTTTAATCAAATGAATGTCTCAGATTATAATTTTTCCTTTAAGATTTCCTAATTTATCCTTAATAAATATGATTATCCGTTGACTTTTTCGATAAATATTATCTTTTTCGTTATTTCTGTTAGTTCACCGTTAACTTACTCATTGATTTCAATAAGAAAGGTTTTAGGTTCGGACCTCATCTCAATCAAAGTTGGCATAATTAGTACTCTATTTTACTCTTATTAAATTAAATAATAATTTAGTAGCTACAACAAAAAATAATACATATGCATTTCTTTAATTTAGAATTATGTGTCTACAATGTTTTTATTCAAAAAAAATTATTCATGATCAATAAATTTAATAAGAGAAATAATTTCATTAGTTATATTGTCTTTATTTTTCTCCAATATAAAAGTTCTTTACATTCAAATTCATCAATTGATTATATTCGCTACATTGTCCTTACAATGTCTTTATTAAAAAAATTATTTATTATCAATAAATTAATTAAGAGAAGTAATTTTATTAGTTATATTGTCTTTATTTTTCTCTAATGTAAAAATTTTTTACATTCAAATTCATCACTTGATTATATTCATTACATTGTCTATTATCTTTTTTGTGCACTATTTTTTAAATTAAATATCAAAGTTATAATACAAAATTAAATAATACTATATATTTATTTACCAAGTATTTTATTAATACCATGAAAAAATAAAATAAAATATAATTAATAAAGCCAATCATATTAACTACTTGAATGATTTGTTGACAAATGAAAGAGAGTATTTAAATCACACAACAAATTGAAGTGAGAATTATCTCGCAATGTCCATGTTTGACAATCAGCAGTTAGCGGATTATATTAGCGGATTTGACCAGCGAATTATATCAACGTTTGATAGAAAGATATTTGAAAAAATTAGCTGTTTAGATTAACATGTAAAATGACCTAAGTGTATAATAATAATAATAATAATAATAATAATAATAATAATAATAATAATAATAATAATAATAATAATAATAATAATAAAATAAATAAAATAATAATAATAATAATAATAATTGTTTTAAAAAATAAAAAAAAATAAAAAATATAATTAAGCCAATCATATTAACTACTTGGAGGATTTATTGACAAAAAGAGTATTCAAATCACATAATAAATTGAAGTGGGAAACTACCTCGTGTTTGATAATAGGCAGTTAGCTCTTCAATATTAGTATATATTTAATATTTTATGCACTAATTTTTATTTGCTCTCCCTTATGTCCCGTATTTGGTTTCAACCATACCTATACAATTATTTTATTGACAATTATAATCAATCTTGACTATATTATCTTGCATTTGTAAACTTAGAATTACCTATTTAAATACGCAAATTCAATATTCAATTATTTATGCATGAACAATTCTAATTTAATCTTGTCTTGATATACCTTAAAGTACTTATTTAAAAAAAATATTGGACATTATTCCAATCACTCAATGCGCATAAAAAATCTATTATACTAAATAAAAGAGAGAACTGTGCCACTAAAATTAAGAATGGGAGAGCATCTTGTCGCAAAACATGCATCGTGGATGATAGAGTACGTGGAGGCTGCTGCATGGTGGTGAGTGGATTTGAGCCATATTCTAACAATCTCCACCTTGGATTAAATTCATTGTAGGAATTAACAATTAGAACAACCGACTAAACTCAAGCATTGCTTGAACTTAGCAATAGGAAGAGCCTCAGAATAGCAAGATGGATCACCATCAACCTACTATGTGACTGAAAGAGCACAAGCAATCAAGTTGATTTCGTCATCAATAGCATACCTAGCAGGTTTTTTAGTTGTGTTCCTAGGACGATCCATAGCAATGGAATACTCTCGTTGTGGCTCGACGAGAGGTGTTGGCTAGTAGATGCATCATCTTTAGTATTACCATCGGTGGTAGTAATACTATTAATAAGCCTGAACTCAAACTCCACCTTCTCACCATTACTCTGCGTCTCATCTGTACTGGAAACTTTTCCAGAAGAAAGTAGTGCATTTTTGTCAAAAGTGATATCTTGACTCAGAATGATTTTCTGAGAATCAGGAGACCATAGATGATACCCTTTTGGCTCAGAGGCATAACCAAGGAAAATGCATTTGACAGCTCGAGGGTTTAATTTACCCGTACTGGAATGAGCATAAGCAGGACATCCAAAAACTCTTAAGATAGAGTAGTCAACATGATTACCTGACCAAACTTCCTCTGAAATTCTAAAATCAAGGGATGAGTGTGGAGATCTATTTACCAAATAGCAAGCAGTAGAAACGGTCTCGGCCCATAAATCACGCCATTTTCATAACCCAGCATTAGAGAACATACAACGAGCTCTTTCCAATAGAGTCATATTCAAACGTTCGGCAACACCTGGGGTTTACCAGGCAAGGTCTTGTGCCTGGCAATTCCATTTGCCGCACAGAAGTCATTGAAATTTGACTCACAGAACTCCAAGCCATTGTCTGTCCTGAGCTTCTTGACCTTTTTTTCCTCTCTGAATCTCAACACGGATTTTCCACTTCTTGAAAATAGAAAAGCCTGATTTTTATGTTTTAAGAAAGAGACCCAGACTTTACGAGAGAAGTCATCAATAATAGACATAAAATATCTACAACCTCCCATAGACTGGAATTTAGTCGGCCCCCATAAATCGGAATGTATATATTCCAATACATCTTTGGTACGGTGTGTAGTAGTAGAGAAACTAACCCTCTTTTGTTTCCCAAAAACACAATGTTCACAAAATTATAATTTACCCGTACCTGAACCAGCAAGGAGGTCTTTTTTTGCTCAGGAGATGCATGTCTTTCTCACTCATATGCCCAGACGCATATGCCATAATTGAGTGAGATCCCCATCAGACATCAATGAAGATACCGCTACTGAACCTGTCACAGTACTGCCGTGCAACACGTACAAGCTTCCGAAACAAGAAGCTTTCATGAGAACAAGAGAGTATTTTATTACTTTCAAAACTCCACCTTCAGCTATGTACTTGCACCCTAGAGATTCCAAGGTGCCCAAGGATATCAGATTGCGTTTCAAATCAGGAATATACCGAACATTAGTAAGAGTCCTGATAACGTTATCATGAGTTTTAATCTGCACACTTCCAATTCCACTAACCTTGCATTGGGTATCATTACCCAGCAAGACAACTTCACCATCAACCGGTTCTAGAGAGACGAACCAGTCTTTGTGAGGACACATGTGGAATGTACAACCAGAATCCAGCCCACTCGGTTTCGCTCTGTTTGCAACCAGAGCTAACAAATAACATAACATCACCTTCTGAATCACTTTCAAAAACTAACACTAGCTCCAGCGGACTTCTTTTCTCTCTCTTGCTTGTTCTTCAACTTGAAGCATTCAGTCACATCATGACCCTGCTTCTTGCAGTACTTACAGGATTTGTTAGACTTACGTCCTTTGGACTTGGATCTAGATATTTTATTGCTATTGTTAGACCCCTTACGGTCAAGCCTTCACCTTTGTCCTTAGACTTAATTTCAAAGTCAGACTTTTTTTTGGACAATAGGTTTGACATAACATTGTCGAAAGTAAGGGTATCACTATTATTACCATGCAGCATAATTTCTTTGAAATGCTTGTATGATTTAGGGAGAGAGACAAGCAATAAAACAACACGATCCTCATCTTCAATTATGACATCAATATTCCCCAAGTCCAATAAAATAGAATTTAATTCATCCATGTGAGATTTAATAGAAGTACCTTCCGTCATATGGATTGTGTACAGATGTTCCTTCAGGCGTAGCGTGTTAGCCAGAGTTTTGGCCATGTAAAGCGTATCCAGCTTGGACCATAAATCTGACGCAGTCGTCTCACTTACTACCTCACGTAGAACATTTTTAGACAGGCACAAAAGAATGGTTGAACGTGCCTTGTCTTCCAAATCTTCCCAAGCTTCATCTGTCATTGTAGCCGGTTTCTTCTTCTTCCCAGCTAGCATTTTCTTCAAACCGTTTTGAGTTAAAACGGCTTCCATCTGAACCTTCCAGATAGAAAAGCTAATTTTCCGTCGAACTTCTCGATATCGAACTTGGTAACAGTCGACATCTTTGAAAATAATTCTCAATTAAACCGCACTGATACCACTTGTTAGGAATATAGCGGAATAATGCGGAAGCTAAGAATCGAAAATTAAGAATTATAGAAGTTAAATAATAGGAGAAATGTATAAATGAAGAAAATTATATAAATGACAAAATAAGAAATTGCTAAATTGGGATAAGATATAATAAATATATATATATATATATATATATATATATATATTAATCTAAAGAGAATTACAAATATCTAAAAACATAATAAGTGTGAATGAAAATTATACCCCTGATTTATGTTCGTTTTGTCCGTTTAGTTTTTTTGTACATTATGCTATAAAGGTTGTACATTAAAATATTTTGGACAAACATACCCCTACCGTTATAACTTCTTTTATCTTTTTCACTATTATTACCATGCACATGCATCCATCATATATTTTCTTATCTTCTTCATTAATAATAATAAATAAACATTATATATTTGAGTTATATGTTAATTATTACATAAAATATAAATATCAAATTTATAAAAATGATTTACATTATTATTATTATTATTATTATTATTATTATTATTATTATTATTATTATTATTATTATTATTTAGAATAATTTAAATATCTAAAATTTAAATAAATTTAAAATTTTTAATATAATGTATTAATATTGTGCACCTATTTTTTACAAATCGTCCATAAAAAAAGTACTAGTCTAATATATAAATTGTGTATTTTGACTCAAGGTGAACCTGGGTCCTTGGCATAACTATTGCCTTTAAATACAACCAAGAATTATTCAACTTCTAAGTAGAAAACAAAAAAAGAAGAAGAAGAAAAGATTATATTGAAAAGAAAGCAAAAATATAATGAAGGTGAATGTTAAGAGGTCTTATGTAGTTAAACCATCGGAGCCAACATGGAGTGGGCTTCTCTCCTTATCCGAGCTTGATCAGCTCGGAACCTTGATGCATGTTGAAACCCTCTATTTCTACTCTACTCCTTCCACATTATCCCCAGACGCCATTATCGACACCTTGCGACTCTCTCTCAGCAAAGTCCTGGTGCATTTTTTCCCCTTGGCCGGTCGCCTGAGCTGGACTCTTGCCGGCGGCGCCGGCCGCAGCTCACCCCTCGCGCTCAACTGCAACGCCGCTGGCGTTGTCCTCGTAGAGGCGGAATCCGATGCCGTGTTGGCCGATCTTGGGGACTTCTCGCCCTGCCCCGAGTTAAACCACTTGGTTCCTAGCGTAGACTACAGCGATGATGATCGTATCCAGGATATTCCCTTGTTCGCGGGGCAGCTCACTAAGTTCAGATGTGGAGGGATTAGCCTTGGGTTTGCGATATCTCACGTTGTGGCTGACGGACATGGTCTCTGCCATTTTCTGTCGGAGTGGGCTAATCTTGCCTCCGGGAAACCATTGGGCTCCGCCCCTTTTCATGACCGCAGACTTCTCCGCGGCGCAGGAAAATCATTATCTTCTCCACAGGGAGGTCCTCGTCGGGATTTCGATCATTCTTCTCCGCTTATCGTTGGCCAGTCCAGCGACGAAAGCGAGAGGATGAAGGAAACCAAAGTATCGACGCTGAGATTAAGTAAACCACAGATTCATGCACTAAAAGCTGCCGCCAACAATGGTCGGAGTTATAATGCCAAACCGCGAGGCTATACCAGGTTCGAGGTGATAACCGCCCACATATGGAGGTGCGCATGCAAAGCGCGAAGCCATAAACCCCAGCAGCCCACGACTTTATGCTTTTCTGTCGACATCCGCAGGCGAATGGAGCCTCCTTTGCCAGATTCGTATTTCGGGAATGCGGTCATTAACGTCGTGATCTTTGGCGTCTCCGGGGAGATTATCTCCGGGCCACTACAAGACGTGGCTTGTAAAATACGTGAGGCAATCGATGGTGTAACCTCGGAGTTCGTGAACTCTTCAATAGATTTTTATAGAAATAAAGAGGACGTGATTAAGAGGCAAGAATTAGGAGACTTATTTGATGGGAATCCAAATCTGAGTGTTATAAGCTGGGTGCCTCTTCCGATTCAGGGACTGGATTTTGGGTGGGGGGAGGAGATTCATATGAGCCCTGGAAATAATTTCTGTGATGGGAACGTTTACATCCTTCCAGTTCCGGACGGAATTGATGGGGATGGGTCATTGCTGGTTGCTGCATGTTTTCAAGTTGATCACATTCAAGATTTCAATAAATATTTCTATGAAGATATCAACAATTTGTGAAGGAGACTGTACCCAATCGTTATATCGTGCATCAGGGCTACAATGCATTGTGCCCCCGGTCCAAAACGACGTCGTGTTTATGTTAACTGTTTATGTGTATTATGTTATGAGATTATGTGTATTCTGTTATGAGTTTATGTGTATTGTGTATTATATATTATCTTAGATTGTGCATGTCTATTATGTATTATGTTAGATTGTGTGTATCATGTTATGAGTTTATGTGTATTGTACTATACAATTCTGTACATTCGAAACATGTGATTTTTTTTAGAAGTTAACCACAAAAACACAGAACGGAATTTCTAAAAAAAAAAAAATAGATACAAAACGAGGTCGTTTTGACCAGGGCGATATATATATATATATATATATATATATATATATATATATATATATATATATATATATATATATATATATATATATATATATATATATATATAGAGAGAGAGAGAGAGAGAGAGAGAGAGAGAGATTCAAAATTATCCACACGGCTTATGAGTGTTATTTACATAAGGATTTTATCAAAAATATCAAACAATTAAAAATTTTAAGTATTCAATTCTTTTCATTTTTCTGCTCATTTTCTAGAAAATGAACCAAACACACAAAGACAGTTTTATGTTGCGTAGCCAAACACCGGAAAGGAAAATATTTTCAGGAAAATGACTCATTTTTCAGAAAACATTTTTCAGAAGTCATTTTTCTATTTTCCAAACCGAACCTAAATGCAATGCAACCCTAATGACATAATGCAAAGTAAATTTTAAGATTGCTTAAACTATTTTAACTTACTTTTAATTTCAGTCCCATATATAGATTTTGTTTGATGTGTTAAACATCGTGTCAAATAAAATAACCCCTTACAAATTGAACTGAATTATGGATATATAATTCTTTATGTTTATTAATAATTTATGTATTGATTATTCTCAAATATAAATAGAGATAACTGCGCTACACATACATAACGTACAACTATATCAAACTCTACCTTCTAGTAAAGTTTGAAATTCGGACTAATATGTTTAAAGATAAGTTACATATTTTTTTGATAATAAAATTGAAATCAAATTTTATCTGTTATTATTCGTGAGATTTTCTATGGTAGCTAGTGATGGTATCAAGTATATTTAAATTTATCATACTTAGCTTAAGTGTACCAACTATCAACATCAATGTTAAATGTGTGCCCAATACAACTTAATTGATACATCATATTTAGTTATATTCGCCACTATCAACATCAATATTAATCATTATTGTAGAAAAACTTTTATTCATTCTTTCTAATTTTTACCTCTATGACCAGTTGAGCTGACCATGCAAGTAAAATCTTTCATTCATAAATATAGTGAGAAACGTCGTTCATGAACACAATTAAACGGATCCCTCAAGTTGAATCTAAACATGTATGGATGGAGCTAATTAAGAAAGGAGACACTGCGGGATTTGCATGGCAACTCGATCATTGGATTCATGATTACAATACATGCAATAAATCCGATTGATGGTCCCTAAAGTTTAGCTTAGTTGGTTTATCATCACCTGATTTAAAGATCATAACTTGAAGCAACAATGTGAAGTTTGAATTTCAATGGAAGAATTGATCCCACTAAAAACGTGTATGATCTGAATTGGATTTCTGCAGTCTCTCTCTCTCTCTCTCTCTATATATATATATATATATATATATATATATATAGTTAATTTTAGCGGAGGTTCAATTCATTATCTTTAGTGACAATTCCAAATTTAGTCTAGACTATCATTTTTGCCATGTATGTAACACCCTAGATTATTATATTTTGAACACGTACTTTTTGTCCTTTTGATGAATTTTTCAGTGAAATCCTATTTTAAGCAATGATATTTTAGTCTCAATTTTTTTCCAATGAGTTAATTTCAACGAAGGTCCCTTGTCTTTTGTGGCAATTTCAAATTTAGTCATAGACAATAATTTTTGTCATTTAACAATCAAGACTTATCATATTTTGAATATTTTTTATTTTTTCGATGACTTTTTTAGGTGAAACTTTATTTTAGGTAAGGACATTTTCTAAAAACTCTCCCTTACAGAAGTGCAATAACGAATAGTTTTTAATTTCTTTAATTTTTATTGTTGCTCCCTTCTTTAATTTTTAATTAATATTGATGGGTGTTTTGGAGAAAGTTGTTCTAAAAACTTTAATTGTTCACACTAAAAGGTCTAGTAGAGAAATAACTTATAACAACGAGAAACATCATCATCAAGATTGAAGACTCAAGACTTGTAGTATAAATTAAGAGTTAATTCCACCAAAAGTCCTCCCATTATCATGGTCTTTCATATTTGGTCCTCATCTTTTAATTTGGATAAAAAATACACTTAACTATCAAAATCTTTCCATCAAAGATTCTTCCGTCAACTTAGCCTCAGTTTCACATTAATTTTGGGTATATTAGTCATTTCAAAGCACGTGTGTCTTCTATCCTCACTATACGACTCTATATTGCGCACGTTCTCCTTCTTTCTTCCTTAGACCCGCCACCACCACTAGCAAAACCATCACCGCTAGTGGCACCGCAATTTCCCACGGGACTTCTAATTTCGTGGATGCAAGTGGATGAAGAAGCTGGACATAGAGGCCGAGCAATGCAATTATCGATCTTTCCCCCGACGAGTTCACGTGAGAGATTTCCAACGGGGTGTCGGACGGTCACCAATCGTTGATGAATGCTTAGAGAGGAACCCAGTTGTTCAATAGTACTTGAGTCGCCTGCTTTTGAGGGAGAAGAAGAAGATGAAGAAAAGGAGACAGGAAAATGGGAAGAGTAGCATTAGTACATATGAAGAGAAGAGTCAGAGGTTGAAGAATATAACATCAACGTTTAAAGTGGAAGAAGGTTAGTTATTCAATATACCTTGTATTCTTTTGTATTATTGTCACTACAAGCTAAGGTTCATGCAATTGTGCTTCTTTTATGAATTAGCAGTAGCTTTAGACAAGAAGTTGTGCATGCAGGATGATACTAGTGAAGTTTCATAACATTTTCTTTATAGTTTAATATCACTTATGAGAGTACATGATGGTTGAATATGAAAGTGTTTATTACGTATATACATACTTTCTTTTGGAACTTGAACCCGAATCTCAATCTCCTTGATGTGTTTCTGCCAGAGGGAGTGGAAGACTCGAAGTACTAGAGGTCGAAGGCCAGGAAGAACTAGACCTCGGAGAAGAAGACGTAGTCGCGCTTCTTGGCGATAGCTCTCCTCGTCGGCCCGTCGAAAATTCATGACAGAGAGGTGTTGTTCCGATCCAGGTGGTCATAGGAGATGCTGGTTTGGAAAGTGCAAAATTGGAATCACTTAGGGAAGTGCGGTGCCACCGGCGGTGATGGTTTTGGTATGGCAGGTCTAAGGAAGAAAGAAGGAGAACATGCGCTATATATAGTCATATAGTGAGGAAAGAAGACAAGCATGCTTTGAAATGACAGTTATACCCCTTAACTTAACGTTAAATTGAGTCTAAGGTGACGAAAGGACCTTTCATGGAAAGATTTTGATAGTCAAATGTCTTTTTTGTCCAAATTAAAAGACGAGGACCAAATGTGAAAGATCATGATAGTCGGAGGACCTTTGCTGGAATTAACTCTATAAATTAATATTGCTTCTTTAGGATTATGTTTAATTTTGAGACCTAATTAAGTATGAAGTGGAGAGGGAGGAATATTGGATGTGAAATGCCTTTGCATGAGAGAGGGATATTGGTGCGGGTTATGATGCGGATGAAATTGGGAACTGCTTTTTATAGTTTAAGTCACCTATATGTTGTTGGGAAAATCTACAAAACATTTGAAAGAACTGCTTTTTATAGTTTAAGTCACCTATATGTTGTTGGGAAAGTCTACAAAACATTTGAAAATAATAAATTTTAGGCAGAAGTGTCAAATAGGCACATCTATCACTGCGAAATGTTCAGTTCCCACCACGAACTAAATTAAAGTCTAATAAGCCACACTTACCAGCTAAATTTGTTCGATTAGCTTTTTTTTTTTGCAGGCTGCTAACCGGTTGCCTATTTAATTATTAAAAAATAAAAAAAAATAATAATTAAATAATAAAATAATAAAATAAAGGAATTTCAGCCACCTGCTGTCCTCCTCTGTGAAATACGCAGCCAGGTTGTCCTCGCCGGACAGCCGGTGGCTAAAATTTCTTTATTTTTTTATTTATTTTTTATTTTTTAATAATTGAATAGGCAACCGGTTCTGCAAAAAAGTCAATCGAACAAATTTAGCTGGTAAGTGTGGTTGATTAGACTTTAATTTAGTTCGTAATAGAAATTGAGCACTTCGCAGTAGTAGATAGGCCTATTTGACATTTGTGCCTAAATTTTATCTCATAGAAATGAAACTTATAACCTTATAATTATTAAGTCAATAGCTTGCAGACTAACTTAACTAAGTTGTCATCAGTTTAATTAATTTTTCTAACATATATGGTAGTTGTTTCACCCCGTCAAAGGTTGAATTTGAATGTTTAGAAAAATTAATTAAACTTAGGGACAACTTCAAAGTTGGTTTCACATAGTCAAAGGTTGAATTCAACAATTAACGATTTTTTTTTTTTTTTTTTGAATTCAATTGATCCTATTACAATGTAGTATTTGAAACTTCTCATTTGAGGGATCATAGCAATGTTGCTCGACCACAAGGCCTTTGACACAATTAACGAATGTTAAACTAAAACAATTAAATGCCTCAAATTTAGAAGATAAATAATTCCATAAACTAAAGACAATCACATCACATAACCTCACTTATCTTGCTCTTAGTGAGGCTCAAACAATAATTTGAAAATTAAAATCACAAAAGACAACTTCTTTTTGATACATCTCAACACCTTCCATTTTTTTTTTTTACATTGGAGACATCATTAAATTCTAAGGACTCTTAACAATTTTTCCAGCAATAATGGCAGCTTTGGCAACATCAATAACAACGTCCGCAACCTCGTCAACATTGCAAGTGTTCCCCTTAAATGTCGGAGCCTTAGATTTTTTGACCCTTGTTGCACATCCCAGCAAGTTCTTGTTGCATTCTTCATTTAAATAATTGTCTACAGGTAAAGTAAAATTTTCATTAATTTGCAATCTAACTTTTTAATGAAAATTTTAAATTTTTTAAATAATCGTCTGTAAATAAATTTTAAATTTGAATTAACTCACAATCTGTCAAAGATCTTATGATCAAGTGACATAATTATAACTCTCTTAAATGAAAGGTCATAGGTTCAAACTACGCAAAGATCTTGTGATCAAGTAGCATAACTATAACTCTCTTAAATGGAAGGTTATAGGTTCAAACCCTAATAATTGGACAATGACTATTTGTGTCTCAGAGTGAAAATGTCTATACAACAAAATAATAATAATAAGTGGGGAAGACCATTTCTTAGATCTAATCGGTTGTGTCCTATGTGATAAGTCGTGTTTACCTACAAGGCTAAAAGGTGAAGGCAAAAATACAGAATCAATCAACCTCCCCAAATAATATATTATAAATAATATTGACTACAAAAAGGCTCATCAAGTCGTCCTTTTTCTTTATTCATTACTTCTTCTAATAAAATAAAACATATATCAAAAGACAAAATTACGCTTCCAGTCTTTGAATAATAAGGTGATTGTATTTTTTGTTTTTATTTAATTAATATAAAGTTGCAATAGTATTTCTAATTAGTCATTAAAGTGGCTTATAATCTTTCTGGCGGCTGATATTATTATTTTGTACACAAATCTAAACAACACTAATATAAAAATTGTAGAATTGTATTTTTAGTATAATTTTTTCCTCTAACTCAATATTTAGAGATTGTCATTTACCTATATATTCCTCTTTTTTGAGGTTCAATATTCCCTCTCTTTTATTTATTTATTTATATGTAAACTTAAGTGATCTCAGCTTTAATTTGCTGGATTAATCATAAGTCCACAGAATGTTATTGTACTCTCAATTTTTGTTCTATGCAATATTCTTTTTCTTAATCACATTGCAAAAACTTCTCAAAATCTATACCTATTGAGATGCTCTAACCCATAATCTGCTTTTTTTTTTTTTTTTTTTTTTTTTTTTTTTTTTTTTTTTTTTTTTGTCTAGAGAAGATGCAATAATAAATAGATAAATAATGAACTTACTGCCATTTTGTCCTATGCAATCATCATGCTGCATACAACAAGCATCAAGTGCGTCGCAGGGCTTCTCCCCTGGGCATCCGCTGTACAGAATCCCACAATATTTCCCGTATCTTAAGAATGGAGGCACTTCCAATATTCAACATATATACATTTAAAAATTACAATAAAAAAAAAAAAGAATTAGTAATATACTACTTAATTAAGCTGCAATTAATAAAGAAAATTAAAATCTTGGATAAATTTTCTTATTAATATAATTACCTCCGCAGAACTTGGATTCGCATTTTCTGCTGCATTCTGTGGACTGCAATTAAGAAACAGAAAATTGGAGAAAATATATTATATATATATAATAACTAATTAAACATCTTGAAAATGATATATATGGGAAAGAAATTAAAGAAGATGAGTAGACTGACCAAGGAAAGGCCATCAGAAGCTTGAACCCCAAGGTTAAGGGCAGTAACATAAGAGTTGAGGGATATAAGAACTGCAAATACAAGAAATAGAACTAACTGGGGATGAGTAGCCATTATTATTATTATTGTTGAAGTGAAGGAAGTAGCTAGCTAGTGATGAAGGAAGAATGAAAAATCTGTGATTTATTTATAGTGTGAAGAAAGTGGTGTGGTGTGTGCTGGTTGATGCTGACCAAATCCCAATCACTTTCCACTTTTCCAGTCTTCCATTCCCTTACTTAGCCCTTCCACTTTTGGCCTAGCTGGTAAGTCTTGCAAGGCAAATTAGTGAAATTATATTGTGGGCGATGATAGAGGTTGCAGTGTGGATCATGAATAAATATTCATTTTTAGTATACTGAACGTCCAATTTTTTAATGTACTCAAAGTTAATTCTTAGGTAGTATATCAAGAAAGAGTTCTACTACATGTACTCTCAAATCTTACTCCCTAAATTTTACTCCTTGAAGTGGCGTGGACTGATAAGCTAATTTTTCATGTGGGTCCCAGTACAATTGTCTACATCAAAATTTGTATGTGGGAGTAAAAGTTGGGGGTAGAAAATGGAGTACACAGTATTTTCTACCAGCAAAAAAATAAACTTTTAGTATACAAAAAATGAACATTCAATATATTAAAAATGAGTTTTAAATATACTGAAAATGAACCTTATGTTAGTGATCCAGGAAATAAAGAATCGTTTTGTATTCTTCAGAATAAGTCACCAACTATATATTTTTCCTACATACGGAATAGTTATTCCACAATCAAGAATATATAGTCTATGGAGCATTTGATTCAAATATTGAATTTCAATTTATAATTAGAATCAAATACTTATGATTGTAATATGTTTAAATAGAATTAGTCTCTTTATTTGATAATAATAAGAATTGGAATCTAATAATAGAATAACTAAAGTAGCCAAATAAACATAATATAATAATGATATTAAATTCGGTAGTATGTTACAACTTACAAAAATTTTCAACCATATACCACCTATATATAATGAAATACATAATATCTTTCAGTATGGGGTATCTTTTTCTTTGGAATACTTATTTTATTTTTATTCCTTTATTGGACATATAATACATTAATACATAAAATATAAATCTGCAATTCAATTATCTATTTATTATCCAAAATGAAAACTGATGCCAAAGGCTTCTTGGTGGGTCTAAAAATTAAATGTGAATTCCAATTTAAAATGACTAAATTTAATCTTTGGCTTTTAAACTGTGCTATTTTTAATCTTAATTTATTCATTGTTTACATTCTTGTGTGGTAATGATATAATTTTCCTGATTAATAGCGATATACTCCCAAATATTTCGGTGCAATAATATGCACTAATGTAATCAAGATTCTCATGTCTGCATAATAGTGGACATTGGCACCAACAAAAGTTTACTCTATCCTTAACTTTATCATGCAACTTGCCAACTTACGATTGTGATAATGACAACTTTAATATAAGACCTTATCTAAAATGGATCACTTTTTATAAAATGTGATTTCATAGAATACATGTAGTTTTAGGTTAAAAATATGTATAAATAGATATTACATTGTAACAGGGTTAATAGTATGTAATTGATTTTTTTTTTTTTAAATAGCTAATCATAAAATGAATGGAATTAATTAAAGAAAGGGCAAAAGCGTATGAGACACTTCTACAAGACTTGGGAGGACTTAAGCATTTAACTTTGTCAAGGTCATAACAAAAATGTTCACATTAATCTTCTAGAATGAAGGGCAACAGTATGGATCATGTCATATCTCATCAAATCAAGTCTTACATAGCTAGAAAATATTAGGTCATTACCTATAATTTAACCTTACCAAAATTTTCCTTACATCCGATTTATATAACTAAAATATAATATCACCAATCTGTTTTTATTTAAAACAAAATCATAATTTTCAAAAAATGTTTTTTTTACCTTTTTTTTTTTTACAATATCATAGATATACTTTGTGTGTTTTCAAAGTATATTATATACTTCGTAAAGTTATACTTTTTTATGTGTATTTCTGATTAAACACGAGGTACAACGTTACAACGTATGTGACATTGCAAAATTGTGCGTATGTGTGTATAAGGAAACAAATTAGGTAAAAACTAGTGTTCGGATGATAATATTACTTTGCAACAATACTAAGTGCATTTTTCCTAAATAAAAAAAAAAATCAGGATAGTCAAGGACTAAATTGTGTGTATTAAATCTAAAAGTAATATTATAATAATCTATTTAATCATATCATATTTATTAGTCATTCAATTAATTTTATTTAAATATTATTGACCAACACAATTAAATTACTTCCTTTTTTATTTTTATCTTTTTTCATTATAAAGTCAATAATACCGTAATAATTAATTTCATATTCATCAAATAGATTTTTTTTTTTTTTTCAAAATATAGGACTTTTACAAGTATAACTATATATGTTGAGTTAAAAATGATATTTTAAAATATTTAATCAATAAATATTTTGTATTTAATACATTTAAATTTGATTTTAATATTGGGTGCAAACCTTCGCACGATGCACATAAAAATAACTAGTGTATATATATATATATATATATAGATATATATATATATATATATATATATATATATATATATATATATATATATATATATATATATATATAGAGAGAGAGAGAGAGAGAGAGAGAGGGATGCACTCAGGTGCAAATAAGTGCCCAGGAAGGAATATGCGAACGAATCAGCTCGCGACACGTGTCCAGATCTAATAACTTAAAAAAAAAAATACGGTGGCATTTTCGTAAATAATTGAACATCAAAGTGCAAGTAAAATCATTTACAAGTGCACCTACTTTCACCTATAAGTGCATGTAATTTTGCCTTGTTAGCATTCACTTCCCGCAAACATTCATGCACCTGGGTGTGCTTATAAATATAGGTGCAACTATTTATAACTATAGGTGCAAATATTTATAACTATAGGTGTAACTACTTATAACTATAGGTGCACCTATTTTCACCTATAAGTGCATGTAATTTTGCCTTGTTAACATTCATTGATCTGAGTTCACCGGGTAATAATACCCCTGAAAACCACTCGCAAACATTCATGCACCTAGGTGCAACTACTTATAACTATTTGTGCAACTACTTAGAACTATATGTGCAACTACTTATAAATATTGGTGCACTTAATATTGATGCTCAATGTAAATTTTTACTTGCACCTATAATACATTTTACATGTACTTGTAATACATTTTACTTGCACTTCGATGTTTAATTATTTACGAAAATGCCACCGCGCTTTTTTTAAAAAAAATCAGTGTTTCTCATCCATTAGATCTGGACACGTGGACGGACAGAATCCATTCCTATTTCGCGCCTGGGCGAAGCATTCGCACCTGCGTGCGATTTTATACACACACACACACGCTATATCATGTATTACTAGTACTTTCTATGTGTGGTGTGCAAAAATAAATTCTCAACATTAGTACTCAATGTTAAAATTATAACTATAATTTTTTTAAATAATATTTTAGAATTTTTTTAATAATCATAAAATTTATAGTTGTTGAATTCATATTATATATTAAAAAGTATAGTTGATATTTTGGTTAATAATTACGGTATGATTAATAATTGTTAAAGTATTCAAAACAAATAATTGTTAAAGTATGAATCTTAGATATGGTAAATGATTAAATATAATTATGGTAGCATTTAATATATACATATATACTAACCAAAATTTAACACTGTAAGGTAATTTTTTTTCGTTAAAAATGATAGTATAATAATTGTTGGAAAATTTCAAAGGTGGAAATGAATGGGTGGATAGCTCATCATGCGCACTTCATGTGAACAACGCATGTTGCGCTTGGTTGTGGACGGTATACGTCCTTCCACTTTTGTGGAAGGGATGGGGGGAGGGGGGGGGGGGGGCTGCTTACTATAACTAACAGCTCCCAACATCGTTTCAAAACACACCTGACTTCAAAGTTATTTGTTCTATTCTTCTTCTTTCTCCCGTAGTCTGAGCAGTAGTGAGGTTCGCCTACGTGATTGCTAGTGCAAGCTATCCATAGTTGGTCTGTGTAGCCTGTCGAAAGCGTGTCTGGGTTCTAACTGCATCGTTACCGGGCAAATAACGCTTTTAAGGTAGTGTTATTATAACACGGCACAGGTTTTCTTTCTACCATACATCCGTAGTGTCCGTGCTTCTTAAAAGGCTTCCAGATCGTGCGTTGACGTTGCTATTTTCCCCAACAGTTAAAAGCGTTATTTTGCAACAGTCAACCTTTAGCATTATGGCACCTTCTGTCATACCGGATTTATCAAAAATCACCGCGCTTGATGGGAAAAATTACAGCAGTGTTCTCTCCATTTGGTGCTACAAAATATAATCATGAACCTGATTACACTCCGGGTGAAGAATCGAGAGAAAGCAGTCCTGAAATAGATTACATTCCGGGTCAAGAACCGGGTGTAACTCTGATTCAATTTAGAAATGACAATGCGGCAGCCAGAGGATACCTGCTGTCACAAATGAATGACGATTTGTTCGACGTCTATGTCAAACAAGATTCGGCAAAAGTCATTTGGGAATCACTGTAAGAAAAGTACGGTTCCAATGAAACTGAAAATCAAAGTGTCAGAACTGTCTACAACAAAAGGAGTAGAAAAATCAAGAAGTTCAAAGGAAGGTGTTTTACATGCAAAAAGCAAGGACACCGAGCACACCAGTGCTACCATCAGAAGGGCAAAACTAGCAAAAGTCAATCTGACAGAGCAAGATGAGTATTGAGTCTCTTTAAATAAATAGTTATTTTGAGTAACTATATTTGCTCTAGTTCTAAGGGTTCGCATGAAGTATGGTTATCTTAGTACTGAATTCTAGCTGAGCTGTCTAGATTTTGATTACTTAGTAGTACTTATTTCTTTAGTATTTTGAATACTAATGACATTGATTGAAATAATTCGTGCATAGATATTGCTCAAACTTTTTACTAAAATTATTTGTATAAAAATAAGAGCATATATCATAGGTTTCAATTGTAATTTAGTGAGAACATGGAAAAGTCATCATTCTTGAACACTCTGTCTA